CAAAATTTTCCACTCCTATTTTCCATTGGAATTTTGTGCTTTTGTCCAAGTTTTCAATAACCTGGAAAGCTTTTGTAACTTGTTTAGAAACCTGTTTTCATTCCATTCACCCATTAAACCTCATCTTACCACATCACATACTGTTTGCAGGGGGTACAGAGTAGTAAGTTTTGCTGCATTTCCTCAATGCTGGTTCATGGTACTGACAATACAAGAGAATAAAATGTCATTGGGGTGTCTGAGACAGCTTGTCCTGTTCTTGCTTACAACAATTGTGTATCCCTCAACAACTTTAGAGGGATACACAATTCTGTTACTTCCTGTATCACCAATAAAAGTTAAGAAAGTGGTCAGTTTGGGTCATACCACATACAAGTCAATTTAATCTGACCTAAATTCTGAATGCCACCCATCTGTATGTCCTTTCTACAGTATGAACAAAGCCACAAACACATAAAGCTGCTAAACCTCCATGGGCTCCCAAAAGCTGCTTAAAATCAGACTACTCAGAGTCACACTGTCCTCCTATCCTTCTCGAGTTGCAATTCATAGAATCACACAATCAAATGGGTTGGAAAAGACCTTGAAGATCATCAAGTCCAACTGTTCCCAGCACTGCCAAGGCCGCCACTAATCCATGGCACTGAGCCCCTCATCTACACAGTGTGTGAATACTTCAGGGACAGTGACTCCAGCACTGCCCTGGGCAGCCTGCTCCAATGCCTGAGCATCTTTTGGGGAAGGAATTGTTCCTAATCTCCATTTAAACCTCCTCTGGTACAGCTTGATGCCATTTTCTCTTGTCTATTACTTGTTACCAGAGAGAAAAGACGAACCCATCACTACAACCTGCTTTCAGGTAGTTGAGGAGAGCAGTAAGATCCGCCCCCTCAAGCCAGGCAGAATCTTTTGGGTGCCTTCAAGACTATCTGAGAGTCTGTCATAGGATGCATAGTTAAAACTGCAAATTGCTAGCCTGTAAGAGGACTGCTTGATGATTCTCAATTCTTTCTTTCCATGGAACCACAGGGAGAAGTTTCAGATAGTGTACCTATTTCCAGCTGTCTTTGTCAAAAAAGATGACAGCTTTTCAGATGTGACTTGTCAAATACCTACAGATGGTCAAACTTATATTCCCTTTGCAATTTTTGCCTGTGATATTTTTTTTAGGTAAGATCTCTACTACCTCTTAATTCAATCCATTGCCCACTACTTGAAGAAACTACATCAATTTTTAGGTCAACTTAAAGAAAAAATAACTGTGCAGCGTGCCTGCATTAATCTAAAAAGTCCAACAGCATACAATGCCAGTTCTGAGTTTAACAGTCCCAGATAGGTTTGGGAACAGTTTCAGTGTAATAGCACACACATCCACTACCTAGTATTAGAATTCAGTTAATGTATTTTGGAGCTTAGTTTTTTCAGGAATTGGTTTGTTTGATTTTCATGGAAAATTCTTGGCCAAATCAAGAAATGAACCTTTATAAGCCAAATTTTTATGCTACTTTATGCTGAGAAACAGCATATGAAATTTCTGCAGAAAAGGCTCTTGTATTGCCCTATACATGGAAAGACAAAAACAAACGTCGGGGGGAAGCTTTTCAAATGGAACAATGCAGCAGTGCTCAGAATAGTCCTTAAAACTGGTATCTGAAATGCAAAAAGAGGGGAACCTTTGTAAAAGTGCAGTTTTCCAGAAACAGACCCTTCTTTTTGTGATAAGCCAGACAATTAGACGGGAACAAAGGAGGCTAACAAGTTTTCTCTCCTACCAGAAGAGGACGTTCTACCTTTATATGAGTGCTTGGTCTGTGTGAAAAGCCAGCTGTGTGAGAAACCACATCGGATGATGCATGCACCCAGGACCACAGGAGGGTGTTTGAGTCTTTTTCCTCTCCCTTGACTGTTAGGTTAGAAAATGCCAGGATAGGCCTTCCAATTTTCACTCGCCCAAAATCCAGATCCTTTCCAAATAACCAGTTTTTCCTTGGAATCCTGTCCACACCCTTGCAAAATTTTATGAAGACACACTCCTTATGGAAGAGAGGGTCTGCAGTGGTCCATTCTTGATATGAGCAACTGCTGTTGAGAGGCATCGCATTGAGGAGAAAAGTAAAAGATAATACATTATACTAGTGCAATGAATACTAACTTATCACAAAATAAATATTCCCCATATGTTTATGCATGCGTGTGCGTAGATATATATATATGCTTATAGCATGTCACACAAAGTTATTCTTGGGGATTATTTTTCCTCCTGCTCAGAACTTTGCTGCAATCTTCCCCAGAGACGAAGCACTTAGCATTTTGGATTATGGAGTCCCTATTGTAGCTATAGCTATATTACAGATAGGATAATAACATACATTTTATGTAAATTGAGAGCTAAATCTGAACTTTCTGAAAGTCTGAGATGTTGGTATATATGGTTTTTTTTAAAGCCTTTATTATTCCAAGATCATGGCCAGCTGCAAAGATTGGATTCACATCCAAAAACATATATTAAAATGCATACACTTCTTCATAGAAAGAAGTTTTAAAACCTGTCAGGCTGAGAACAACACTCTTTTTGTGTGCTGCCTGGCAATTCTGTTACAGATCGACCCTATTGTATTTTTGGTAATTTAAATGTGATTGCTGGCAAAGCAGAAAGGGCTGGGGGATTCGTACAGGGAGGCACACAGTCAGAAAGAAGCAAGCATTTCTGATTATACAATATATGCCTGACATGTTGCTACACACAAACCCAATATTTAGCATTTAAAAAAGAAGGGGGGAGAGAGAATTAAAAAAAACAACAATAAAAGAAACAGCAGCTGTTTCTATGTGATGTCAGAGAACAGGTGTGATACAAATCTCCATACCAGGGCAATCATATTGATCTCCTGATGATGCACGCATGAAGCACATGTGCAAACGTTATCGACCCATCTGGCATCTCATTTCCAGGAATACGGCCTGAAAATGCCTCTCGATAATTGAAAACATTATCAGGATAAACACCGTACTGGCCAATTATTAAAAAACAGAGACAAACCGCGTAAGAAAAGGTGCGCCTGGCCCCGCGGCACGCACGGCACCGCGGCCGTGCTGTGCCCCTCCTTCGGGAGCAGCCGCCTGCGCTCCCCGCCCTGGAGCCAGGACCCCCCTCCTCGAAACCCCCCCTATCCCAGGACACCGTGCTTGGGTGGGAAGCGGCTCGGCCCCCAGTGCTGCCTCGGAGGGGAAGCAGCAGAGCTCCGACGGCTGGACCCCGCGGAGCGAGTTGGAGGGGACCCGGAGGGGGCCCGGAAGGGTGCGGCGAGGACAGCCAGGCCGCCCCCGCTGCCTCCGCGGGACCAGCGCCCCTTCCAACACACACACACACACCCCAAGACTGCCGGATCCCGCCTGGCTGCTCGGGTGCCCTCGCAGCCCGGCACAGCCGTGCCAGGGGGACCGGCCCCGGGGTTGGGGGGGGGGGGGGGGGGGGGGGTGCGGCAGGGACACCTTGCTCCCCTCATCCATCCTTTCCGGGAGAAGAAATAGGGTTTGGAAGCAGCCCTTCATTCGCGACGCGGGGGTGCAGGGGGTTTTGGTATTAATTGTTAGTGTCTGCCATTAGAGGGCACTAAGCAACCCTGCATTAACGCGGCTCCTGAGAGCGGGGAGGGAAAGGAAGGGGGAGTGTGGGGGGTGCGGGGGGAGAGTGGCACCAATTTGGGAAAAGATTAAAAAGGATGTGGAGTCCTGGAGCTTCTGAAGTGCTCAAAATGCCCGAGAGCTGCTCAGGACGATGATCATAATAATAATAACAAAAAAAAAAAAAAAAAAGGAAAAAAAAATGCAGCGAGGTCAATCATTTACCAGTCTGCTTCTTAATGCGTGTGACCGCAGGTGGTACCGGGGGACATTGTGATTCATGCCCACTTTCAAAGCGGGACCAGGGCCCGGTCTGAGGCACCCAAACAACTGTCTTCTAATATTAGCACGGCTGTATTTCTGGATCTATTATAGTCTGTCCAGACAGATCCCATTGTAATGGGATCTTTTATTAAAAGATTAGCACTATCTCCTGCAGTTGGTGGAAAAAAATCTGTTATCACTGAGTTATTTGCAGTTGTGGGGAGGGGGCGGGCGGGGGGGGGGGGGGGCGCAGTACCGTGGGGCGGGAGCGGGAGGAGGGGTGTGGGGAGGGCCCGGCGGAGGGCGCGGGCGGCCGCGGCGCACCGGCCCCTGACCCGGCACTGTCCGGGCATTCCTGTCTGCATACTTCGCAGTCTGTTGTGCTTTGGTCGCTCAGAAAAGCGAAAGAATCGAAATTTAAAAGGCAGCTTTTGAATAAACAATACCATTTTCCGTTAAGTAATCGTTTTGTATAAAAGGAAATATCGCCTACTCAGTTTCATTCAGCGGTGCCAAAAAATGTTATAAATGAGAGACCGCCAACTTTTCTAAGGGGAGAATAATGCCAGACTGTGCTTAATAAACTAGTGCCCTAGAAGTTCATTATCGATGTTGCAATCTTTTCTGATTCTGAAAGGAGACCGCCTACGTCGCCCCCATTCCCGTCTCGTCCTCCTGGGCTCCCACTGAAAAGGCTGTCACTTGGGCACAGCCCTAGGTATTAAACTTTTATTTGGTTCTTTTTTCCTTTTCGATTTTTCGGGTTTTTTGTCGGTTGTTGTTTTGGGGCTTGGGCAGGTCGGTGCGTTGGTAGGCTCAGGCTGGGGTATTTCGGGGGCCGATTCCCTCTGAGCCAGCAATGCGCGCCCCAGCCGCCCCTCGCGGGCGCGGGGAGCGAGGTTTAATCTTAGCAGCTGCTTCGCGCGAGGACGACAGCTCTCCGCGGCCGCGGAACCCTCCGCGCCCCGCCCCCCCCCCCCCCCCCCAGCTCCCAACGCTTCTCCGCAAAGGGGGCCAGGGGCGCCCCTGGAGCGGCCGCGACCCCCCCGGTCTCCGGCTTGCGCGGGCGCGGGGGACTCCGCGGCGAAGGCGACGTGCTGCCGTCCGCGGGCGCCCCGGAGGGCTCCGGGTTCTGCGGCGCGCGGGGCTGCGCGGGTGCGCGCCGGAGTGTGCGTGCACCTAGAGCAGATAATTGGAGAGGGCTTCCAGAAGGTGGAAAATGTCACCTGATTCACACTGAACTTTTTAAATCTCCCCACCCCCGAGCAGACACACACACACACACACACACATTAGGAGACCGCCCACCGCAGACAGCTAGGACCCCCGTATAGATTTAAAGAGAGACTGCATTCAGAGCCTGACGTTCATTCAATAGAGCGATCATAAGCAGGCTGGCTAGTGCTCGCTCCCTCTCCCTACTCCCCCTCACGCCGTCTCTGTGTCTCTCACTCGCTGCTACACTGAGGATGTTAAATCAGAGAATCCACCCGGGCATGCTCTTACTCCTGATGTTTCTGTGCCACTTCATGGAAGATCACACAGTGCAGGGTAAGACCAGACGGTTTATTCGCAGATGTGTTTATATATTATTATTACTATTGCTTTCCGTCTTTCGGGCACGGTCTAGTTGGCTGCGGTGTTAAGCGCCTCTCTCCAAGGTCCAACAGGACAGAAGTTAACTGTGGGCATGGGATTGCTTTGTACTGAGGTGTCATTTAGATGCCTTTTTGAGCGGATCTTAGCACTGCTCTGCATAGGCACAGAGGACAGATAAGGATGTTTCTTGGTATTTACTGTTATTATGCAGCGTGAATGAAGAGCAGCATCGCGAGGGAACTTTCCCAGTCGCAGCTCCCGCTCGAGTGCTCAAAGTTTGTTGGTAATTTAGCTCAGATTTTTATCTCGCCTCCTTCCTGACGGAAGGAGAGGTGGTGATGGGGAGCCCCACGATTACAGCTGACATTATTAGAAACCAGTAAGTGGTCATTTTCCGGACATTCCTTTAATATTAGGATTTCCTCCTCCCCCCCCCCCCCTCCCCTTTTTTGGTGTATGTGAATAAATGGTAGTGTTGTAAATTCCCTTGCACTGAAGATTAGGCTTAAATTAATTGGTTTGGGGTATTTTGTTGCCTTTTTTTTTTTCTTGCAAGCAAAACAAACCTGAACCTGCTTTTTGACAACTCTTAAGAGCCCTCTTTCGACACTAGGGAATATTGATTTTTAGTTTGGGGGCTTTTTTCCCGTACCTTGACTGTGCTCCAGCTGCAACCTGGATGTCTTACCATTGCTTGTTCTATGTTTTTTAATTCCTTTTCTTCCCCACTAGAGCATAAACTAACCTAATGTGGGCAACAGTGAGGCGTAAAACTTTATTTCTTTTTTTAGAGGCGTTGTTTGTGCAATGATTTTTAGCGCGGGGGGGTGAGGGGAGGATGAAGGGGGATCTTCCCCTGCGCCCAGCGACGTCCCGTCTGGCCGATCCTGGCCCTTCGCTGCGGTACATTCCCATCGGAGTAAGGAGGCAGGATCGAGACCTGGCTGGATTAGCACCAGAATCAATTGGTATTGAGTTGCTCGAGAAGTCACATTGGTTATTCACGAGAGACTCATCCCAACCAAAACTCTCCAGCTAAAAAAGGGGGAGTTGCTTGGACGAATGTTCTTGGCTTGACTCCACGAATAACAGGGATACTAGCAAAAAAATAAAAAGGGAAAAAAAAAATCCCCAAACCCACTCTATCCGGTGTAAGGTCAGTGTACTTTCCTCTGAAATGCGTGCGGGAGAGACGGCACCTACAACTTTTCCAGCTTGATCGATTTCTAAAACTCTGTAGGGACCTCCTACTCTATGTGCCCTTGTATTTTATGTACTTTGCTCGCTTTTTGGAGCTCTGCTGATTTATTTTAGTGAAGGAAAGACATTTGTTAATAGAAGCAGCAAAATGTGGGGATTTCGAAAGACCTCGCTAAGAGCAAATGTTCCCAATTCGTGCAGATTGCAAAATGGGCTGAGACTGAAACACTGTGCGGCACTAAAACAATGCTGCTGTGCAGCCACGGTGAGGAGGAGAGGGCAGGGGGAGGAGGAAGGAATTTGCAAGCGCGATTTTCTTTTTATTCCCTTTTAAATGCACATCCTTTTCAAGCCTCTGTCACGTGCCGGCAGTGCTCCTTCTGCTCTACATATGGAATAAATACCTCCGAAAACTGCCTCGTCGTGCTTTGATCGGGTTTTCTCCGAGTTTCTTTTGGGGGAGGGTGGGTTTTGGGGGGTTGGTTGTTGGTTGTTTTGGTGGTGGTGGTGGTGGGGTCAGTTTGTTGGGTTGAGGGTTTTGTTTCTTTTATAATTTCTTTTATTATTATTTTTTAATTTTTCGACTGCTCTGCCCAATGGGCCGGAGTAGCTGCGGGTTATGAAACGGGACAAATAAAAGTAAACAGTCTAGTAAAAGTCACTGCGAGGCGCACGTGTTGTGTCTGGGTCACTGGCGACCGCCACTGACCCGGCTGGGTGTCTGTCTGTCTGTCCCCCCGGCCCCCCCGCAGCTGGGAACTGCTGGCTCCGGCAGGCGCGGAACGGCCGCTGCCAGGTCCTCTACAAAACCGACCTCAGCAAGGAGGAGTGCTGCAAGACTGGCCGCCTGACGACTTCGTGGACGGAGGAGGACGTCAACGACAACACGCTCTTTAAGTGGATGATTTTCAATGGGGGAGCTCCAAACTGCATCCCGTGCAAAGGTGAGGGGGTGCTGGCGAGCTGCTCTTGGCCCTGAAGCGGTGCAGGCAGGGCCTGGGGGAGGAGGAGGAGTTGGGAAGGAAAGGAGGGGGGTGACGGGGGCAGCGCGTTCTCCTCCCGCCTCCTTTCTCGCTGGGGCTTTGAGGAGCGTCTCGTGCCGGCCCCGGGATGGGTGAGGGGACCCCCTCTCTGCTTGGTCGCCGGGAGGAGGGGAGCGACCTCCTCTTTGCCCATCTGCCCCAGCCCTCAGCGGCGGGTGCAATTTCCCTGGAGTGGTGTTTCCCGGAGGGGGGTGGGGGGAAGGTGTTTGTCTCTGTGCTCTGGGGTCACAGTGTCTTTTTTTTCTTCAAGCAGTTTTGACACCAGGTCTGTTCTGCACACTCGGTACTAAAGTGGTGCCTCTTTCCTTCCATCAGAAACATGCGAGAACGTGGACTGTGGACCCGGGAAGAAATGTAAAATGAACAAGAAGAACAAACCTCGGTGTGTTTGTGCTCCGGATTGCTCTAATATCACTTGGAAGGGTCCCGTGTGTGGCTTAGATGGGAAAACCTACAGGAACGAGTGTGCCCTTCTCAAAGCCAGATGTAAAGAACAGCCCGAACTTGAAGTCCAGTATCAGGGCAAATGCAAAAGTAGGTTTGCATATCTAATCCCATCTCCCTCAAATGCCAAAGGGTGTGTGTCTGAGTGTAGGGAGGAGCTGTTGGATGTACTTCCCCACAGGAACCAGAGTGGTGTTCCTAATGCTGGGAGACAGTAGCTAAACCATGCTCAGCAGGCAAGGCCCTAGGTGGATTGAGGGTTCCCCACAGTTTAGCAGCACTTGTGTCCCACTAGCTACTCAGAGTTGGGAAAGTTCCTTCCAGCTGCCCTTAAATGGTGAGAACCAATGAAGGCAAACCTGATCATTTGTTTCATTGTGTCACCCTTTTACTACTCAGCAGGGCTCCAGGATCTCCTGTTAATCGCTGTGTGTTTCTGTCTTTGTTTCAGAGACCTGCAGGGATGTGTTATGCCCCGGCAGCTCCACGTGTGTGGTTGACCAAACTAACAACGCTTACTGTGTGACATGTAATCGAATTTGCCCAGAGCCTACCTCCCCTGAACAGTATCTCTGCGGGAATGATGGCATCACTTACGCCAGCGCCTGCCACCTGAGGAAAGCTACTTGTCTACTGGGCAGATCCATTGGATTAGCCTACGAAGGAAAATGCATCAGTAGGTATCTTGGTAGGAGGGTAACGGTGGGGGGGAGCTTCCTCGGTCAGCGGTTTCAGAGTATTGTGTGTGCAATTGGATGGACGTAGTGAGTGCTGGGGGGGAGGACAGGCTTCCAGCAGCCTGGGTTAGTGCTCCCCACGAGAAGAAGGAGAGCCAGGGAGACCTTTGCCCCAGAAAAGGCTGCAGAAGGGGTGAGGGAGTAGAGGGACTGATCCTGCTTCTCTTGCTGTCACTGTGGGTGCTGACATTAGTATCCAGGGGAGAAGTAGCCGCCATTAAATAGATGATGACATGGTTACAGTGTAACAAGGTCTCGATATTCAGTGGATCTGGATTCCTGGAAACAATTGTCTTCAAGTGGTCTTGGCAAAGCTTGCTTTAACTTAATTGGAAACATCTGATCACTTTTCCCTCTTTAGAAATAATGCAGAGTTTGGAGACAGTTGGTGGGTGAAGATAGGAAAATAATCTCTGTGCATCCTGACATTTTGTACTGTGATTTCCAGAAAGGACTGATAGTGAAACATGTTATGAGGAAGCACCTTCAGGGCAGGCTCTGCTCCCCAAAACTGCTGAGGAAATTTGGGGGAGGCTGCTTTTAGTTGGCAAAGATTGAGGTGAATTCTCTTTCCAGTCTTGTAGGCAACTACTCTGTGTGGGTTAGTTTAAAAATAATTGATTTAGAAATGCTGAATGTGTTGACAAATTCTGCACTTACCACTAATTTGGAAAGCTGAATTTCCACAGACTTCAAACAAAGCAGGAAAGTCATGTACAATAGGCAAATGTAATTCTGTATTCCCAGGGCCAAGCTCTGCTGGCACAGCTGTCTTTCCTCCCCCACATATAGACAGGCAATGGTGTCCAAGGGACTACTTGCTTGAGCAAAATCAGCAAGTATCATCACATCTCCTGCATCTGAGTTTTGTCTATTCACAGTTCACAGGGGGGAAAGGAGTTTGGGGTTGTTTGTTGTTGCTTTTCTTTTTTCTTTGTCTTTTCACTTACCTCTTGTATCCTGTGTGTATTTTTAGAAGCCAAATCCTGTGAAGACATTCAGTGCAGTGCTGGGAAGAAATGCCTGTGGGATTTTAAGGTTGGCAGAGGTCGGTGCGCCCTCTGCGATGAGCTCTGCCCTGAAAGCAAGTCAGACGAGGCAGTCTGTGCCAGCGATAACACCACTTACCCAAGTGAGTGTGCCATGAAAGAGGCAGCCTGCTCCATGGGTGTGCTTCTAGAAGTAAAGCACTCTGGATCTTGCAACTGTAAGTGAGATTTTTAACTCTGCAGACACTTAAAGCTTCTGAAGGCAATCCCTAGGTACTGAAGACTTACGCCTTTAAACATAAGAAAGCTCGACTTGGAGATTTGAGATACAGCACAGGTGACATATACGTATGTACCTATCATGCACACACTTTGGTTACTGATTAAATGCAATAGATCAACAACCAGCTGACCTTCAAGTTGGGTTTTTTGGGGATATTCAAAGGACAAGTCATTCTGTCAGAAAGGGGTTGCCCTAAGAATGTAATTCTAGTGATTTTTTTTTTCTACTTTGCTCTCGTGTGCTTCGCTGATTGCTTTATTAACGCCCTGATAAACTCTTAACTCGGTCCAAAAGAACAAGCCTAATGGTAGCACATGGGCATCTGGTTGAGCACAGTTGCCTCTTCTAACTCTGAATGAAGGACACAAAACAATTAAACCTAGAACGCAAGAGCGCTTTTCATTTGATTTCAGGAATCTGCCAATAAAACCTGAGCCATTGATTCTTCAGAACTTTCTGCAGTTTTGACTTCATAGATTACACATAAAAAACCTTATTGCATAACAGCAGATGCCAAAGAGCATCTCACTACAAGTCGCATAAAATGCAACGCTGTATTATGGCTGTTCAGAGGGCTTTGAAAACATGCACTGAGCTGCTTCTGCGCTGTTGTTGTCCTTATTTAAACAACAGCTCCCCTGTATTCCCCCATCTAGCCATTAATGAAGACCCAGAGGACGAAGACGAAGATGAAGACCAGGACTACAGCTTTCCTATATCTTCCATTCTAGAGTGGTAAAAGCTCCATCACTTATTGGAACAGCCATTGGGCACAAAATCAATGTCCATACTGTACATAAGTGTATGCCTATTTATTTTGGGGAGAAAAAAAAAAAGTATACATATAGTTGAGTCTCGTAGACATTTATTTATACTGTGTCATGTTTTATAATTTATACATAAAATGTCTGGTTGACTGTACACCTTGTTTTTTGAAGAAATTTATTCGTTACGGGAAGAGCAGTGTTATTTATTGTGAGGTCTCTTGCTTGTAAAGTAAAGCTTTTCTTTTTTCTTGCAAACTATAAAAGTCCATTCCTTAGAGCTTACCCACATGATCTCATCTGTTTCACTGATGTTAAATCTTTTCCAGTTTAACAAACTTGCATGTTGGTTTCTATTATGTTTATTTATTGGATTTTCTTCTTGCCGGTTCTGTACGTAAAAGCTCCTCGGGTTTTTGTTTACAAGGAATCTTGACTGACCAAAAGGCGTTGTAACTGACTTAAGTATACTTCCAGGGTGCAGTGAGGCAATCTTTAAGGAAACTTCTTCCACTTCACTTTTCTGTACTTCTGATCACATCATGTACTGAAGTGATCTCAATGTTTTGAGCGTTTATACTGTACTATACAAATTCCAGACCCAAAGAAATCGGATTATGAAGGTTGTTAACTACAGGGCTTACTGTAATAAGAATAAAGGTTTTATTTTATTTTTATTGTTTCGGGTTTTTTTTTTTGTAACATGCATAACTGCTTTATCAGGTGTTTCCTTTAAGATGGTCTTTCAGTACCACTTTCAAAGTTTTCTTTCCCAATCAGTGTGTCACTAAAAGTTATATCAAAGCTTTATCAGTTCAAGTTTCTTGCTTTTCATAATACTTTTTTTCTGATGCAATTTTATATTTTCAAACATGGCGAGTTAAATATAAATTCATTTAAATATATAGTTTTGTACTTTTCTACCATGTAAATGTGCAATGTATATAAAAGTTATAATGTGTATTTGTAAATAAATGATGAGTGAAAAAAAATAATAAAATGGAATTTTCCTTAGAGGTAGTCCTCAGCTTTGGTTCTAAAGGGTTCTTGCCTTCTGGTGCAAAAAAGACAGTATACAGGTAGTTAGGGGAAAGGAGCCTTGTGTGTGGCTATCAGTGAAACACATTGGTTAAGGCCAAAGCTTTAAGCTAACATTGATTCAGGAAACCCTTTTTTTTTTTTTTTCAAACAGGAGCAATGTCTTCAGTTGATTGGCACTAACTTTAAATCGAAGTACAGTGAGCGAGGGGAAGAGATGCAGTATTTTGGTTTCCTTCTCCATTCACTAAATAAAAAGTTTCTAATTTCTTTTAATTCCTTATTTCGAGGAGGTGTTGAATATGTTTTTGAAATTTTGCTGAGCTTCAGATCCATGTTACTGAGGTTGCAGTTGTATCACCATTTTAGATGACCAATAGAAAAAGCAAGGTGGGGCCTACTTGCCCAAATTCAAGATAGGTAACAAGTACTGCAGAACAACACCTCACCAAAACCAACCAAAAACCAAAACCATCAAAGAGCACATTACCATTTGGAAATTACTTTTTCACAAAAGGAAGATAATTCTCAAGTTCTTTCTGGTGAATTAATATTCAAACTGGATGAACTGGACCCACTTAAGAATGAATACTAATACAGTGAACTGAAAAAAGGAAGCAGCCATAAGCACAGCAGGGACCAAAATCTACCTGGCTATGATGTTCTCCCAAATAAGGCCCCATTTAACAAAATTTCTCATACCACATAAAACTTAAAAATGTACCTAAATACCTTATTCAGTGGTGTTCTAAATGCTGCTGTGAACTGCAGCCTGAAAGCAGAAATTGACTTACCAATTTTGTTTAAAGACAAATCATATTTGAAAGCTGTTCCTGCTGTAGTCTTCTCTGTATTTTTTACTGTAAATACTAATTTGTTATGGATCGTTTAGCATTATCCAAAGCAAATATAATGTATTCCTTTATGCATAAAAGCTACAACTGTGCATTTATAATATTGTATTCAAAGTAACAGTAAAAAACATCTGCCCTTCATCCTCCTGTTGCTTCATTTAGACAAGTAGTCCCTTTGGAAGGAAGTACATGATGAGAGGAGCAAAGGGAGCAGGATTAGAGTCTCCTGAGGGTACAGAACCCAGAATAAAAGGTAACAGGGACCAGGAGAACAGAGAGACTGAAAAAGAACCTATCAGAAAATCTTTCAAGGAAATAACAAACCCATGACAGTAACATAGAGACAAAATGTTTAATAGATACGGAGAATATCAGAGGAGTTTTCTCCCAAAATCAGATAGGTGCCAGCTACTTCTTTTCCAACAAAACAACATAAAAATACTGGTTTTAATTGTAAATATATTTACATGTCTTACAGAAAGACTGTAGCAGAGCAGGATTTCTGGGTTCTAATTTGATACCCTGCTGCTGGAGCACAAAATAACTTTGAGAAAGTCACTGACGGACAAATTCAAGAACAGCAATAAGAATGCGAGGAAGCTGTATTTACGCATGTACACAAAACCACCACGAAATTCTACATCTACAGGTTTTTGCTGATAAAATGATCTCAAAGTTATGCTATTGCATTTCCAATTGCTACTGCTATTTCTATATAACTGAGAATCTTGAAACCTACCTTGCACCACTCAGGCACCTCCTGAGAGGCTTCATGGGGTAAGCATCTTCTGAGCAAGCCTAACATACATCAGCCTCATCATGGAACACAACAGCCCCAGAGACTTTCTCCCACAAACATGTCCAGAGGTTGTAGCAGCATGACTGCCAACATTTTACATAATATCTTAGTTGCAGATAAGGCACTCTTTCGTGAAGCGGGAGATGCAGGTTCACTGCCAGTCTCTGAGGAGATCTTTCCCACATCTCCCAAGAGTGCATCTGCCACCAAATCCAGGTGAAGCACAGGCTGGAGAACTGTCTGTCATGCCTGCTGAAGCCATACTTCTGTACTGGAGAGGAAGCCAGATTCACTGAAGGAGGATAATTTGCAACCCTAATAGGTGCTCCTTTTGAAGAGAAAGTCCTGGGTTCTTGCCCCAGGGGCTGCCTACACATTTTGCATTTGTAATTGAGTAACATACATACATAGTGCTTGAAGCAGGGGCCAGAATCCAGGTTGCCTCCCCTCCTTCTTCCCCCAGCAGGTAAGCATCTCCATCCTTGAGCTATGAAATCACGTTTAACTCTCTGCTTAAATCAAGATTACAAATCTCACATCTTTTTCTACACTGAGTCATACACCAGGAGAGGCTTTACTTTTTTAATCTTCTCTTCAAGGCTTGTATATCGGGAATTTCCTGGGAAATGGAAATGTGAACTTAATTCCCTCAATCTAAGGAAAGTGCTGAATCCATTTTTTCTACCTCATGTCCTTCTTTTTGCATATTTTTTATTTTGTTTAGTTTTGTTTCTTTTTTTGATGCACAGGCTATCCTGGATGTTGTTTAAATGGTGACACAGAGATATATGGATGTCCAAGTACAAGAAGGTGGTTTCCAGCTCTGAAACTATATTGTACAAGCTCCTAAACCCAGAAGATAAATACATTTTCAGAAATACCTTTCTCTTGAGTGTTTTCTATTGTTTGGCATAGATACTCCCTTTGCTGTAAATCATACTTCTGAAACTCTAGCTCACCATGGAGTATACTTTGGTACTGAATCCCAGGCTTGTGAACTCGGTTCACAAATGCAGGCACAGTAACACAGAGTGGAGCACGTATGTTTATAAACAGAAACCCATATTCGGGCACTTAAGTAAAATCAGCTTAATTCTAAGAAACCCAGCTTGAACCATTCGAACCATAAGACTATTGCGTCTAAAGCTCCAGTTCCCAAATGTATTTATCTGCACAATAAATGCGAGTATATAGAATTTTGATCACACTCAAATGCATTCCTGATAGCTGTGTTCATAAGACAGACATAAGAACAGTATCATGGACCTATTTTGCACCTTTTACATCTTTGCTTGCTTTCTGCCCTGATACACCTCAACTAAAACTACATTCCAAGCCTCTCAGCAAATTTCAAACAGCTGCCATCTCTTTTATATATATATATATATATATATATATATATATATATATATAAACATAAAAATGTTTCCTTCTTTCCCTCCAAATGGGAATCAGGTGAAATTAAATTTCAGTATGCAGTGCTGTTCTCTAGGCAGTGACATTTTACTATACAATGAATCATCAGCACAGAAACATCTGTATCTTATCCCTTTGAAGAACTAGGATTCCATGCTTTCTGGTGAAGCATAAAATTTGTACATAGACCAAGGGGTTCACAAGGTATCAAATTTTAAATTCATAACTCCCTGAAGATAGGGAAATTACATTTTTTTGTTTGATATTTGTATAATTCCAAAGCCTGCCTGACCCATTATGGCAGCATGAATTTTGCAGGTACTATATGAAAAACAGTATGCACAAGTTCACTATTTTTTTTTATTTTTTTTTTTCCATTAGATATAAATACATAATGGACCCTTCTGGCTGGATTTTGCTGACATTTGTTTGGGATCATCTGTATAATTCACATTCATTCATTATTCCTAAAGAATGTGGGAAATGAAATTATCACACAGTGGAGAAATGCGACATGAAAACAAGGTGTGAGCCATGATGTTCAGCTCAGAGACTGATTTGGAGTTAAAACTACATTTGGCTCATTTTCCTGTAACCTACAGGTATGTTCTTTTGATCTTATAATCTTTAAGTGGATTTGTTCACCTTCGCCATGGGATTGAAAAGCACTAACATGTCAGAAAATTGAGTAGGAACTCTGGACTTTGACAACAGTTAATCAGACCTCCCAGATACTACAAGATAATGGAATTTATGTGATATAGCGTAGATCCGAATGTGTAATGCCCCCAGATTTCCACCAGTGCCACTCAGTAATAGCATCAGAAATTTCCAGTGCTTCAGTGAGGTCTACAGCTACTCAGAACTCCTCAAAATGAAACTGCAGCACTCACATTCAAGAACTAAATTTTAGTCACCTGATTTTAAAAGACTTCTAAAAAATTTAAAAAATAAATATTGGAACTATTTTTTCATAGTGTGTTAGAGGTTCACAGCAAAAGCAGCACATTTTTTTTTTTTTAATCATTCTTGTGTAGCATGGCTATATACAATAATGCAATTTTACATAAGAACAGTTGTAATACATTTCCCAAGACCTATTAGCAATTTGGAATGGTCTCACTCAGATAGCAGTGTACCAGTCGATTTTTTTGCTGAGTTTCATGTTATATACTCTACCTTTTAAGTTTCAGTCACTTGGTGTTTCAAGGGGTACTTGGATCTACAAGGACGATGTTGGTAGGTGGCTGTTGTCAGAAAACATTTAGAAGATCCTAAAACATGCTACCATTTGATTTCTGAATTAGAAGCATTGCTAAAAGAGGTCATAGGGCAAGACATGTAGATAAGCCAGATAGGTAGTTACACAAGTCCTTGGACAATGTAGAAAAAGGCGGCACTGATGACAAGCAAGCCCAGCTGAGTCTTAGGAGCTGCAGCACCTAACTTGCAAGAAGAGCTTGAAGGGACAGTTTATTCTGCCTGAAGAAGAGAAGGCTCTGGGGGCACCTCAGAGCTGCCTTTCCTACCTACAAGAAGATCATCGTATAGATGGAGACAGGGTCTTTGT